GGCTTGTTGAGCTGTGCCCTCAGCATTAACCCTTATGGATCCTGTGTTCTGTATGCACTTGGTGTGTGTGTGTGTGTGTGTTTGAACCTCTGTGGATTGTTGGCTTGGGCATGTGCTTTATAATATAAAGCGGGGCGAAAGCCTTTTTCGGTAATAAATATTCTGGCGGCAAGTATCCACTGAGCATGGCAGCATAAATATTAAACGTACAATGTATATAATTAGAATATTCTGCTTCACTACGAAACAACTTATTTGCAGGAGAAATTTGATCACTCACATTGTTCCCGCAAGACTTTGAGTGATCATCGATTGTTCTCCATCGTAGAGCTTAGACAAGCCAAAATCTGCTAGTTTTGGCATCATATTCTTATCTAGCAGTATATTGTCAGGTTTTAAGTCCATATGGTAAATTGGTTCTTTGAATCCTTCATGAAGGTATTTTAAGCCCTCACATGTCCCTTTGATAATTTCATAACGTGTGTGCCAGTCAAGTCCATCACATTCCTCTACAAATTAAAACAAAAGATTCAATGAAATAGAAATATAGAGAAAGCTTATTTTCTTCAGATGCTAAATACTCCGTATGGTATGCTCGAAGTGGAGAAGTCTTGTACCAAAAATATGCTTTTGAAGGCTCCCATTTCGCATATACTCAAAACAGAGCACTCTGTTTGTTTCTTCAGCGTAAATGGTTTCTTCATTATGCAGCATAGGTTTATGATGTGTTTCGTAGCAATAGCCAACTAACTGTACAATGTTGTGATGATCAAGCCTCATAAGGTTTTCAAACTCACGTTTGAATTGCTCGTCGTCAGTTCCTTGCAGGTTATTATGGAGCAGCTTTACAGCTATCTCTTCCCCACTGGCATGCACCCCCTACTCAAGTCATAAGTCCAGGGTACAGCCTCAATTTCATCTCATAAATCCATATCATTTGAAAAGCAGAAGGAAATAAGTATCATGTTATCTTAAGTTTTCTGTTGTGTTTTACTTCCTCCGTCCCATAACATAAGAGCGTTTTTGACACTACACTAGTGTCAAAAACGCTCTTATATTGTGGGACGGAGTGAGTAGTTAGAAAGTGTCTCACAAGGTTGCCAGTTGTAATTAAGCAAGTAAGATTGCTTAATGCACTTCATTATTGTATTCAGAGTCGAAAACCAAGCATGCCATGTTACCTTGTAAACTGTTCCATATGCGCCTTGACCAATTTTTCGCTTCTCGGAGAAATTATCTGTGATTTGTTGTAGTACTCGCATAGTTAGACATGCTGCATTTTGTAACTTTCTAGCCATGTTACTGTCTCTGCTGGTACAAATGAAAACCCTTAAGAATGAGTAAATTAGAGAACAGAGTGCACCCATTGAAAAGAGATGATGTCCTAGAAGAGTGCAGTCAAACTTCTATAACTTTGACTATGTCCGTGTAAAAGACTATTGAATTAAAAATATTACTAACAATCATGACTTGGGAATAATATAACTCCCTCTGTAAAGAAATACAAGAGCGTTTAGATCACTAATAGTGAACTTAACGCTCTTATATGTCTTTACAGGGAGAGTATTAGATTTCCCATGTTAAATATTTATCGCATATTATATGGAAAATATTATTCGCATATTAGTAATAGAAACAAATACTAATAATCAGAAGCAACAACCGGATTACTATGATTAATAACAGATTTGCAAGCAGGAATCTGTATGGGAGCAAGTCAGAGAGACATAGCATAGCATACATACACACGTAATTAGGAGATGCGTAGTTCATCATGAAATTTTAAAGTCTCTATGTCCATGTGTATTTTTTTCAGGGTTTTTTAAAACCACAAAAGATGATTTTTCGTGCGTGAACAGAAAAACGGGTGTCATGGAGCCTGAGTTCCACCAAAACTTTCCCATAAATAGGAGGATCATATGTATACTAATTCCACGGAAAAAAAGAGAAGAAGTTCAGGTGTATTACGGTATCTGGATCATGAATGAAGTTAGCTAGTCAGGGGATTGCGCAATATCGACCGCAGCCGCAGAGCAAAACATAGAAACACTACGTACTGACCTGGAGATGGGGTTGGAGCTGGAGCTGGAGCCGGCGGAGGGGTGCAGCCCTGCCTGCGGATCTCGATCGGAGGGAGATGCCACTTCCATGGCCGTTGACGGGAGGACGCCCGGGAGGGGAGAAATTAAGACGATGGATGCTGTGGGCGGCTAATCAGTGGAGATGGAACAACGACACCTAACCTTACCGAGGCTTGGAAAAGTGGAGACCTACATGCTCCCCCTTTCAACGTTCAGACTAAGGGGTCTCAAGATCAGTTGGCACACAATGTGGTCGCGCACATTATTGTGCAGTTTGGTAAAAGTGAGCTAATTACTTACTTAGGTGACAAAAAAATGTCTCGTATGGTTCAGTTTTGATAGCACTACTGCATGGTGTCATGACCTTTTTTGTGGAGGCGATTTTTAACGATCCGTCTATACAATTGCAACACCCCTACGCGCGGTTTATTGAGAGCTAGACTAACTCCAATAAGTTGTTAATGATGCTAAAAGCATGATTAACATGAACACCAGGTTCTAATCCCTGTTGACAGTCAAAGACAAGCAAAGGGAAGCTCAAAAAGGAAAGACAAGCAAAAAAATATTACTATATATTAATAGTTCGATTGAGATGAAAAAAAAGAGAGAGGTGAGCTATAAATTACTTTGACAAAAACATCAGACAATTGATTAGGTGGACTCTCATAGTTAAGTACTCCCTCCGTCCCAAAATAAGTGACTCAACTTTGTACTAGGTTTTGGGACGGAGGGAGTAACTTTTAACGGCTTGGTTTAAACAATTTTTTTAAACCCGCTTAACCTAAGAATACATGTTTTGATATGGAAAAATAAATACCATATTCACAAACAAGATGTTACTATGGGCATGAAAACACAAGAACAACAGGTCCATCCTCTTCTTCTTTTTGCAATGCTTCCTGTCTTGGACTCGATGTGCTCTACTTTACAGTTGTGTCTCTTTTGATATGGTTGCAAAATACAATGCATAGTCCTTGCACCACCCTTATTTTCTTCATCAACCCCTAGGGCTATGCTTCCAACTCTCGTTGGTTCACAATGTCGTCATCATCATTTTCTCTCTCATAGCATGCATGCTCTATTGGATCATGAACGACGAAGGCGACCAATGCGTCATTGGGAGATATTGTGGTAAAATTCGGTCTTTGTTCGATCATCAACACCATAGTGGGACCATAGCTCCAAGGGACTAGCTCACAATGAAAGAATCATTCACGCATTCACATCCATTGCTCTTCAATGACACGACAAGATATTCAAGCTCCGAAAAATATAGTATTTGGAGTGTTCATGAACATGTTAACTTCTTCCGTGAGAAACTCCATTTTTTTTCTATTGTTGAATACGTTCATCACCTTCAAAATATCTTGGCGAGACAATCCCGAATCTCATTGGAAGTCTTTAAGAGGGTGGTGGAATCTTGATGGTTCTAGGGCACGGCTTGACGGAGCATGTGAAGGGTGGTAGCATTGAGTTGATCATCTTCGGCTTTCATTGCAGTGAGATTGTTCGGATCATATGGGTTGAAGCCAAGAATGACGACATCCCAAAATTGAGGGGAAGCACTAGGAACATGAGAATCCATGGAAAGTTTCCAGTTAAAAAAATGAGAAACGTCCAAGGTGGGTGGAGCATACGTGTGGTTGATATGTGGATGCAGGTTGGGCCAAAGTACGTACAATGGGGGTACGAAGCCAAGGGTTTTGGTAGGTATTGTTAGGGAACGTAGCATGCAATTTCAAAAAAAATCCTACGGTCACGCAAGATCTATCTAGGAGATGCATAGCAATGAGAGGGGGAGAGTGTGTCCACGTATCCTCGTAGACCGAAAGCGGAAGCATTAGATTAACGCGGTTGATGTGGTCGAACGTCTTCACAATCCAACCGATCTAGTACCAAATGTACGGCACCTCCGAATTCAGCACCGTTCAGCTTGATGACGTCCCTCGAACTCTTGATCCAGCAGAGAGTCAAGGGAGAGTTTCATCGGCACGACGGCATGGTGACGGTGATGGTGATGTGATCTGCGCAGGGCTTCACCTGAGCACTATGACGCTATGATCGGAGGAGTAAACTGTGAAGGGGGCACCGCACACGGCTAAGAGAATAATTGTTGTGCTTTGGGGTGCCCCCTGCCTTCGTATATAAAGGAGGGGAGGAGGAGGCCGGCCACCAGGGGCGCACCAAGGAGAGGAGAGTCCTACTAGGACTCCAGTCCTAGTAGGACCCCCCCCCCTTTTTCCTTCTCATGGAGGGGGAAAGAGGGAAGGAGAGGGAGAGGGGGGAAGGAAAGGGGGGCTGCGCCCCCTTCCCCTTGTCCAATTCGGACAGCCCATGGGGGGTGGGGCGCCAAGCCTTGTGGGATCCCCTGTCTCTCCCCTATGGCCCATGTTGGCCCATTACTTCCCCCGGGGGTTCCGGTAACCCCTCGGTACTTTGATAAATATTTGAAACGTCCCGAAACCATTCCGGTATCCAAATACTATCGTCCAGTATATCAATCTTTACCTCTCGACCATTTTGAGACTCCTCATCATGTCCGTGATCTCATCCAGGACTCCGAACAATCTTCGGTCACCAAAACACATAACTCATAATACAAATCGTCATCGAACGTTAAGCGTGCAGACCCTACAGGTTCGAGAACTATGTAGACATGACCGAGACACGTCTCCAATCAATAACCAACAACGGAACTGGATGCTCATATTGGTTCCTACATATTCTACGAAGATCTTTATCGGTCGAACCGCAATAACAACATACGTCATTCCCTTTGTCATCAGTATGTTACTTGCCCGAGATTCGATCGTCGGTATCCTCATACCTAGTTCAATCTCGTTACTGGCAAGTCTCTTTACTCGTTTCATAATGCATCATCCCATAACTAACTCATTAGTCACATTTCTTGCAAGGCTTATATTGATGTGCATTACCGAGAGGGCCCAGAGATACCTCTTCGATACACAGAGTGACAAATCCTAATCTTGATCTATGCTAACCCAACAAACACCTTTGGAGACACCTGTAGAGCATATTTATAATCACCCAATTACATTGTGACATTTGATAGCACACAAGGTGTTCCTCCGGTATTCGGGAGTTGCATAATCTCATAGTCAGAGGAATATGTATAAGTCATGAAGAAAGCAATAGCAATAAAACTTAACGATCATTATGCTAAGCTGGCGGATATGTCTTGTCCATCACATCATTCTCCTAATGATGTGATCTCGTCCATCAAATGACAACACATGTCTATGGTTAGAAAACTTAGCACTACTAGGGGAAATGCTAGTAGTAATGCTTGTTTTAAAGCTAGTAGCGCTGGAAAGGGAGCGCTACTGCTATACCTAGTTAACAGTAGCGCTTTCCTTGGGACAACACTACTGCTAGTAGCAAGTAGCAGTAGCGTTTATTCTGAAAAGCACTCCTGCTAACTTTTCCTGTATTTTTAAAAATACAGCTTATTTTCGTTGTGGTTTTATATACAGTACTTTCATCATATGATTTTATGACCATGATTAGTTATTATGTATACAGTACTTTCATCATATTGGGTTTGGATTAGAGTAGTACTTTTGACATGCACCACATGTTGCCTCCACTTAAATCTAATCCATGTTCATTTCACCTACTGATATATATATATATAATAACTCATCATGCTCACATAACAATTTAGCATCATGCATCATCGATCATAATAATAAATAACTCATCATTGGTATCATAATAACAAGTCATACTCATCATCATCGATCATACAACTTCTACTTGATACCACATCATCATCATAGTCATCTAACCAATCCTACTTAGTTGTTCTTAGCACATGATCATGAGTATTATTAGCTAGGACCTACTACCTTCTCTTAGATAAAATAGCATAAAAAAGATAGGCCCCGACTCTCCATTACGAAGAATGGAGATTATCATGTCTCCAATTCTTGCCTTTCACACAATGTTGCTTCCAAGTATCTCCTTGCGGCTGTCCATACATTTTTCCATTCTTTGATTTTTATGTCTTCACTGGTTTTAGAAATCTGATATGGACAGGTGTGATTCGTAGGATGACCTGGCTGTATGTTCAAAACATCAAGGCGACCATTCTGATACATCAGATGAGGCACACAATTCTTCGGGATTTTCTGTTGAAAAACATAGTAATAACTTCATAGTTAGCAATGTAGTTAAGTTTTAAAAGAATTTATGCAAAACATGCACGGATGTCATAATAGTAAAAAATCTTACCGTGGCATCTCCATGGATGTTACCATAGTTCAACACGTGCACTAGTGGCACGTATTGACCATAATGTGGAGGAGTTTGATAATAGATATTGTAATTCTCAAGATCAGTACAAAATGCGATCAGATGATTTTTCTCTTGATAAGTTAACTCAGAGCCATCGGTGTAGTAGGTTTTGTCTACCATCTTCCACACATTGTTTGAAGAATGAAAATAAGATGTCAACTATTTTGAAATAAACAATATAAATTAGTTAATAACTATGTTTGAGAAACTCACATAGCGGTAGAATTGGAAGCATATCAACAAGCACCCAAATGTCCATATTGTCTTGGTCGATGTCAGGATCACCAAGATCCATGGTGACAAGCATACACTCATAAAAACCATACATCTTGCAAAGTGCTTCCCAATTTGTGCAACCAAAATGGGTTACGCTCTCAGAATTATACAGATTTACTTCAAAATCCATACCATGATGGGTCCTTAGGTGAATTTTCTTTGTTTCAAAATTTTCATGGTCTTCAAAATCCATCCTCTCCAAGACATAGCGTCTTACATGGCATGGGATAAGCTACTTGAATTGTAAAAGATGAAAATTACACCTTGAAATATTTGAAGTCATGCTTAATTTTGAAAAAAAACACTTGTCGTCGTTGCGTACCGTTTCAACATCGAAGGTCTCCTGAAGCTTAATGTTGAAGCACCGATCTTCGTCCAGGTGAGGCCTATCACACAGACCCTGGCCGTCGTTGCACCAGTCACACTCCCCCGGGAGACTTTTGTCGTCCGATACGACATTTCCTAGGTTCATAATT